ATAAAATATATTTTATTTTATTATTTTTATTTTATTAATTTATTATTTTATTCTTATATTATTTTATTAATTTCGGTTCATTAGTTTATTAAATTATTTAATTAATTATATATTTAATTTTTAATATTATTTTATTTTTAAATATTATTTATTTATTTGTTAATGTATTTTATAATTTTAAAATTTCTGTGTTTCTGGATTTCAAAAATTTTCTTATAGATTATTTTTTTCCTATAGTAGATTTTATTTTTTTCGAAATTTCCGTTTTGGTGCGGGTTGGGTATTACCTAGTATATTTATTTTTATAATCGATTATGCCATATTCAAAGATCCTGTATACAATTATTTGGAAATATTAAATATTTTATGCGTACGAAAGGTTAACATATTAATAATCGTATAAATTTTAACAAATATTATTTTAGGATTTTAAAGGTACGAATTACCATGTACGTATTATTTTTATGGAAATTATTTCTTTCCTCTTATTGGGCAGGGATTTGGGCAAGGAGGAATGCTATGCAACAAAAACCACAACAAGCTCTCGCCCGGGCGACTGGACGCATCTAATCCTCATTCTTGGGCCTGAGCCACACGCCGTTCAATGCTTATGTTGTCAACGATGCATATGTCGTTCAATGTATCAAATCACGACATGCACTTCACACCCAGGCGGCTTTCTACGAGAGAGGACGACTTAAATAAAAAAATATCTAACATTTGATATTTTGCACATTTTTTCTTCAATATTATTTTCCCCCTTTGGGGGGTCATCCATTTCATTTTCTTCGATATTGAATTGATTTCCTTCTGGAAGCCAATTCGTGGGATGACAAATAATATTTGACAACGTCTTGACAAAAGAAATGCCGGGGAAAGCCATAGTGAGGCACAAGCAACAGTATCCATTGAGTTGTCACAGGAAAATATTCCGGTGTCAAAACCCTAGATGCCCTGGTGAACCCTAGAAATAGCCACTAAATGGATGCCACATCCCTCTTTAGTATAATATAGGATAATGGTGTCATAGCTTGGCCCTTATCCAGGGCCCTCAAGTTGGCATTGAAAATAGGTAGATGTAGCCTTTTTTGCTACCTTCACCTTCCAAAGTGGGCATAGAAACCCAAGAAGGCATCGAGGTCCAACTGCTTCCGCCAGCCTTGTGTGGCTGTGATCCAGAGTTCCTTCTTCTTCTTGTCAGGAAGCTCTTGCCCAGCAGGGAGTTTCATCAATCGAGTCATCAGCCCTATAAATTCGTCGTGTTTCAGTTTGCCTTCTCCACGCCGATCTGCCTACCGTGACCAACGCCGAAGGGTGCTTCCCGGAACACTGCCCGGAACCGGGGCTAAATGTACATACTTTTGAATCTGGGATTTTAGGGAGATGTTATCCATGAGAGTGGTGAGTAATAATATATGACACTAATTCATTTAATTTGCTGATTGATGATGATTGATGTACTCATGGGATTCCGAAATCTAGCCCACCTTATTCATCGTTGCATGGCTCCACGTGACCACATCGTGTTATTCACTGGTGCTGAAAGATCGCGGGTGCATACCAAGAGAAGGCCTTATCGAACCAAACGATGTGGCTGTCTGCGCGGAAGATGCAGAGTGGATCATAGAGTGGATATGTTACATTTATGGACCATCATTCCAATCATACCAAATCGATATCCATAGTATATTTGTTTAAGGGCCATATATCCATACTGGTAGTAATCCAAATAATCATAGAATATCATAGATATCCATAGAAAAACACCGGCCTTATCGAAGTCCTTCTTCAAGGCATCGATGTCCAAAAAACTGAAGCCGTGCTTCCGCGCCAGGTGTCGCACTTCGCGCTCCGAGCGAGAAATCAGAACCTGCCAACGGCTTGGGAGTGGTGTCGTGGATGTTGGGTGGTACATGTGCTACACTCAAACAAAGCACGGGGCTTGGCTCACCAAATTTTGAGATAGTTAAGTGATATGTTATGATATTACACGAGTCGGAAATTTTGAATCATGTGCAAGAAGAGTTGCTTGAAAATTCACATATTTCAAAGCCTTTCATCGGGATATGCTTGGAAGATCTTGGAATTCCATGCGGCCAAAGCGGCCAATTCAATCCAGTTCAACAATCCGATGTCCAAAGAATGATGAGGGCACAGCATAAATCCACCAGGCACAGTTATACTGCCAGGCTTTCATCAGAAACCAAGCTGCAAAAAAACAACCCTGAAAAAGGGGGCAGCGGCCCTCTCATGAAGACAGAGATATCGCAGTTTTCTCATGCCCCGCTTTGGCTGATCGCTGATGCAAAAGTGTCCCAGAAACTTACCAGGCAAACGAAAAGCCATGATAGTGACAGCTCAAAATACATCTCGAATCTAGAACACACCAAACTAAATCGAAACAAACACAGCCTCAAGACCAAGTATTTGATGGATCACGCGTGTCAGTACCGCACACGACTACTCCAGCACGCTGACAACTTCGAAGTGACCATTCTGAGACGCAATGAACAATGGAGTTGCCCCGTCTGTGTTGGCCTGGTTCTTGTCAGCACCTGCTTCAATCAGCAAGCAAACGACTTCCACATGACCATTCTGAGACGCGATGAACAATGGAGTTGCCCCATCTGTCTTGGCCTGGTTCTTGTCAGCACCTGCTTCAATCAGCAAGCGGGCAGCTTCCGCATGATCATTCTGAGACGCAATGAACAATGGAGTTGCCCCGTCTGTCTTGGCCTGGTTCTTGTCAGCACCTGCTTCAATCAGCAAGCAGGCAGCTTCCACATGACCATTCTGAGACGCAATGAACAATGGAGTTGCCCCGTCTGTCTTGGCCTGGTTCTTGTCAGCATCTGCTTCAACAAGCAAGCGGGCAGCTTCCACATGATCATTCTGAGACGCGATGAACAATGGAGTTGCCCCATCTGTCTTGGCCTGGTTCTTGTCAGCACCTGCTTCAATCAGCAAGCGGGCAGCTTCCACATGACCATTCTGAGACACAATGAACAATGGAGTTGCCCCGTCTGTCTTGGCCTGGTTCTTGTCAGCACCTGCTTCAATCAGCAAGCAGGCAGCTTCCACATGATCATTCTGAGACGCAATGAACAATGGAGTTGCCCCGTCTGTCTTGGCCTGGTTCTTGTCAACACCTGCTTCAATCAGCAAGCGGGCAGCTTCCACATGACCATTCTGAGACGCGATGAACAATGGAGTTGCCCCATCTGTCTTGGCCTGGTTCTTGTCAGCACCTGCTTCAATCAGCAAGCGGGCAGCTTCCACATGACCATTCTGAGACGCAATGAACAATGGAGTTGCTCCGTCTGTCTTGGCCTGGTTCTTGTCAGCACCTGCTTCAATCAGCAAGCGGGCAGGTTCGACAGGGTCTTGCAGCATATAAAGTGCATGCACCAGTGGTGTTGACCCGTATATGTCTTGCGAATTTATGTCAGCAGCTGCTTCAAGCAACAGCTGCATAGTCTGAACATGTCCTGTAGCAGCTGCATGGCTTAACAATGCCCTCCCAAACTCATCTTCTTCATTGGGGTCTCGTGGGTGCTGTAGCAATTCTTCAAGTGTCATGAAATTGTTGCTTCTACATGCCGCAAGCATCAGTGAGTCTGCTTCTCCGTCAGGTTCCGCAAATGCCAAAAGGACTAGCAGGACCTTCCCTGGAGCGTCAGCAAACACCTCATCATCCAGGATTTGGCGGGATCCATCTTCGACATGGAGGCGCTGCCGGAATCTGGGAATGCCAAGCTGCACAGCCAGGGATTGTTTCACAGCCCGTGCAGATTTACCTTCGACATGATCTGCGTCAAGGAAGGCCAGCCTTTCACCAGAGACCAAGGAGCATACCTCCATTGCAGTCAATTGCAGTCACTGTACCAAGCTCGCAAAAAAAACGAGAAGGCAAACCACTGAGTTGAGACATGTTGAGAATGCAAGCACTGGTTGAAGTTTTTTTCTATATATATGTTTAGATATGAGTTTGAAGGTTTTTTTTACTTTTACGTGCTGTCGCTTCAAAAACAAACAGCTTGTTGCATCGAGGCATTGGAGATCCATCTCTCAGGGGCCCCTTGGGGGATGGGTCATTGACTCAAAACCCATTGGCTGTTACCATATTTGGGGAAGAAAAAAACCTTCATTTCTTGCAGCTAATCTACAGTACTCTTCTAGGTGCCAGGATTTTGACTCATATTACCATATTAAACATGTACAAAAAAAAACGTCAGGAAATATATCCAACTGTATCTTCCCACATGGTTGGTCTCACAGTCCCACTTTGTTGTCACAAAAAGATACGCAACACGGTGCTATGGCTTATCATCATGTTCGAATCATCGTGTTGCTACAAATTGTGGGTCAGATTTGGAGACGAACCCAGATATAATGTTTTTGGTGATATATTCCATCATGCCTCCATTTATCATGGTTCTGGATAAATTGCACTAATTCACGAACCAGGCATGTTTGGCCATATTCCCCCAATCCTACACTTTCTTTTTTTGACGTCACGGCGTGAGGTCTAAACGACCCTGTCTCCGCATAATATGCTCTGAAAATAGGCTACCCCAATTGCACGAATGAATTATCAGCATTCTCCCCATCAAAAGTGCCATGACTTGTGGGCATACAAATTTTGGTTGGTTTGTATCCCCATTTATTCCCCATTTTTGTTATGTTCCCATATATTCCCAATAAATCCAATATAAATCCCATATGTTTGCTGGTTGAATCACCATGATAATCTAACCATATATCACCATGGTTGGTCATTCCATCATTATTCATCAACCCATTGAACAAATGCTATTCCATTCTTCATCCTCATGAAAATATGGCAGTGTGTCAAAACCTTGTACCCCTGGTGAACATCAAAATAGCTGGTAAATGGATGTTCATCCCACTAAAAATGTATCTATAGGTATTGACCCATACCCATATGAAGCACTTGGTACCCTCAAGTATCTGGCAACAAACCTCTCATCACCGAAGGATTGCCTCTTCGGAGAAGCAAAACTTGTGGAAAAAGGCCAGGAACTCGACAAAGTCTAAGCGACCGTTGAGACTCCTGGGCTTTCTCGTCAGCATGTCCGAAACACCAAAAAAATGGACGAGTCACTGGCTTATATCGTTTGCTAATTTGCTACCCAGAAAATGTGCCATATGATGCTATATGTCTAAAATCACTTAAGGTCTACTGATGATGATTATTGATGATTCATCATTCATGCCCCTATTCCATTCTATTTCAATAGCAGTTTTCTTTTGGTGTTGATAAGTTTACTCCAAAAGTTGGAGACTCCAGTATCTTCCATTGCCCCAACATAAGCAGGGCTAGGCTCCAGTCTGGACAGTGCCTTGCTTAACTACCAGATATGCGCTCCTGACCCAGCAAATTTGACCCACAATCCTGACAACAATTCCCGTAATATCCTGGTGCTTCAATGCAGCGAATATATGCGAATATCCTGAAGCCTGTTGGAAAATAACTTTGCCCTCTGGAAAATTTGTCTCTTACCACAGAAATTGAACATTCCTAAGAGGCTGTAAATCAAATCTATTCAATGGGCCATGACTTCCAGTTCGCTGTGAAAAATCACCAGCGGCCCATCTGCCAGGCGACTCGTCAGCAGGATCACGGCCGGAGTTCCCAAAGTTCTCCAAACATTCGGCAACGCTCAGCAGGACGCTTCCCACAAACTCCATGTCCAACAGCCTTGGAACAACCCGCGGAAAAAATCACAGTTCGCAAAAAATATGGGATCCCGACAATAGAAGGGAAACCAGTCAGTTTAAATTGCCAAACCATGCCAAACCAACGGTTTATTGAGGCTGCTTTGAAAAGGAAACCTTCATTTCTGGATATGTCTGATCAATCGAGCCAGAAACCAATGGCTTTTCCAGTGCGTGTCTTTTCCATTGGTTTCTTCCCCGTTTCTGAACCTCGTTTGTGTCACCGGTCACCAGGGTTTCACCATGGGAAAGCCCATGGCCTGGGGTTGTCCACATCGCTGATGGCGCAACAGGCTTGAACGAAGGCATCGTGCGACATCAACCCTAGGCTTGGCACTGCGAATTCCAGGCCATCCAGGACCTCTGCCTGGAATGCAACAGAAAAGTGATGAGTATCCGACTCAAAGAACGTTGGATTTGTTATAGAGATAATATATAATATATAAATATATATAATATAGTGTAATGTAATATAATATAATGTAATATATTATATTATATTATAATGGCAAATGACTTATTTTACATATATTTTTGGGAGATACTATAGATGAACCTTCGGGCAGGAATCCGACGGGATACCTTGATTTATGGCAGAAACTGTGGGAATTGGGGAGTTCAAAATGATTCAAACCTGACCTTCACATTTTGACATTCACATGACGTTGAAACATCACATTCAAACATTTTTGAGATTCAAACATGACGTTGAATACGAAGAAAAAGAGACTGCAAAATCCGGGTTGGCCGCCGTGCTTGGCCCCATATCTCTATTTTTCGCCTTGGCTGCTTTCCCCACCTCGGTGCCGGTGAAGCCATCCAGAGTGGCGAATTGAAACCACCAGCTGAAAGCCTGTTCACTCACCTCAAGGCTCGGCATGGCGAAGATGGGCGACTGTTTCGAAAATTTTGGGGTGTACCCCCAACCCAAATTGCAAAAAAAATGGGGAAAAGGATGATAAAACCACTTTGGGATTTTTTGGGGTTCCCAGAGTTGTAAGAGGAACCCCACAATAACCCAAATCTAGCTGGGGAATTTGAGTTGTCAACTTAGATTACTGCCCGGTGATGTATGCAGCTTGGTGAGTTTGGCACTGTTCGTTGCTACTTTGCTGAGAAGGTAAGTCTGTCTGCCCTCTTTGGGTCCTGAAGTGAAACCCTTCACCCCAGCCCAGCCATCCCATTCCAAATGCTCCACGCATGTCATGCTTACTAAATCTTACTAACATTTACCCCAAAATTAAGCTGAATTAGGAACATGGCAAACATACATACATAATGTACAGTACATACCCCCAACAAAAACATGGCGTCGAGAATAGATTTCCATCCATCCTGCTGCATCCTCGCCTGCAGGGGGATGTTATGCTTCCCCGAAAGCTTGGCTAAGGACAAAATCTCCGGAGGCTCAACCTTGGGCGCCTCCTTCGGCTTCTCCTGGAAAAAACTGATGTGGTCTGATTCAACGCCCAGTTCAAGGCCAACCAACCAGTGATTTTTATGGTGATTTATATATATTTTTTTAATGATTTTATATGGGGTTGTTGTATGTTGTCTTTCCATACATGAGCTTACAACAGACTCATAACGGGTAAAGGGCCATAACTGCCGTTCAGCTGTAAAAAGGGATGGTTTTAACATCAAACATGGGGATGTAGGACACAACATGGCGATTTTTAGGGGGTTCACCTTCCAAGGGGTCCTAAACCATGGTGCCAATGGACGGGCTCTAGGAAAAAGGACACCATGAATCGTGTTCCCTGGAAGCAATTGGTGATATCGCGGCAATGATTGTTGATGTCTTATTGGGGTGTAGGGTCGAGAACAATCATGTGAAAACTATACCCTCTGGTAATTTAACGTAGCTATGGAAAATGACCATTAATAGTGGATTTTCCCATTAAAAATGATGATTTTCCATAGCTATGTTAGTTTACCAGAGGGTAGTCATTGTGAAATTATCAGGGTACGTACCGTACGGGGTTTGATCGCCATATCGTGATAACGCAACAGAGATTTTTGCGGACTCGAAACAGTGATGATCGGCATTGTGGAGGTGTAACGGTGTAACTGTGTTTAAACCAAAACATGCCATTAAGGTAAATCCCCTAGAAATGGAGATCATGGAGGTTTGAATGGGAACATCATATAAAATCATAAATAATTAGATGGGGGTTGATCCCGGAATGCTAGGGACTCCTTGAGGCCTTGGTGGAACTGTTAAAACCTTCAGCGGTTTTGAAGCTTAAGGACGTCCTTTGCAAACGACATCCCAAGTGAGTGAGTGTGGTGATCATAGGAATATACAGCAATGATACCAACAGAGTGTCTTTGACTTCGTACCGTACAATGTATTATATCCTGTCCGACAGGTAATTGACCAAGTACTAACAAATGATTCCATTCAGTTCATCATCCGAATGAGGACGCTAAAATGATGCCGGATGAAAAACCAACCAGTTGATGTTGCTTGAATCAGTCTATATAGACCAATACACCTTCCTCTCTCTGCTTCAGTTCAGTTCCTTCTGGTTCTTAAAGTAAATCATCTAAATCCCAGTTGAAAATTCTCTCCAGCTGAATTTGCGGATCTCCTGTTACAAGTTCCAATCTACATCGTAGTCATGTCCAACGATATGTTGAAATTACGATTTCGATAAATATATATAATTATATATATATGTGCAGTACATGGAAACCACCAATCGGTATGGTTCAAGACTTAAAACCACAAGTGTGATTTCCAGTTTAAAACCATCCATTCCACCGCAGTCCTTTCGCGGGCCCTGCACGTTTCGAGAGGCTCGGCGTTGGGCGCGGTGCGAGGCACGGCTCTCGTTGCCAATGCCACTGCGGCGGCGGCCCAACCTATCCCCGAGGGGGTTGGCATTGGAACCTTATTTTTATGGTGTTTTTATGTGTTTTACCCCATAGGTTTAGTATGTTTAGTGCTTTTATACCGACTTGATATTTGGAGGGAGGTATAAACACGGTAAACTTCATTTTTTGTTGGTTCAATTTGGTTCAACTGAACCGTAAGGGCTGTAGAGGACTCAAAGTAATGTCATGGCCATGGCTGTAGATTCTATGTAGATGCCAAACATATGGCCACATGTTTTTAGCAAAAAAACATGGCCACAGGCTGTCAGCTGTACGGTATGTGGAAATTTCTGTCTCAATAGGGGGTGTATGTTTGCACATGCAAGGGGAATCAGCTTTGAGAAAACTGGCTTGGGACGTCTTTTGTGGGGCCAACTCATCACTATCATTCACCTTGCGTGCGTCAAAATGGTGATAACTATCCCACCATCCACCAGGACAGTATGTTTGGGAAATTTCGAGCCAAACAGAACTTTAGGTTTGCTTTTGGTCCACTCAGAGGCTGGCAAAGTTTTATTTCAAATTGTACAGTATATGGAATACATCGATGAATACATATACGAATACATAAATGAACACATAAATGAACACATATATGAATACAGATATGAACACATATATGAATACACATATGATACATATAAATAGATATACAATATTAAACAATATATACACTACAACTCCTGGTGGCACCTGGCCACGATGGCGAGGCTTGCGATGCCCATACTCTCGGAGCTCGACATGGAGTCCGAGGAGTCGGAACAGTCAGAGTCCTGTGAAAGGGGCGAGGGGGTTACTATGGAAAATCACCATTTTCAATAGCTATGTTAGTTTATATAACAATATATATATATTAATATATTGATATTATACTTGTTATACAAATTAATACACAATATGTATATATGATATTATATAATTATATAGACAATATATAATCATCTATACAGCAATCGATTATACTTGAGTGACTGTGATTGGTTCCAGTGGATGGGACAATTTCTCTGCGGTACTGGCACCAAAATCACAAACACATCCGACAACACCGCGTGTCGCTGGGATTGTTGAGTGAGTTTGACGGGTTAAGGGATCACTTAGAGCACCGGAGAGTGGATCACTTAGAGCACCGGATCACTTAGAGCACCATGGGATCACTTAGAGCAACAAAAAAGTGGATCACTTAGAGCACCAGAGAATGAGACCTTTAGGGTTTGACTTGGGGACACGGGGCTGGGACATGGGGTGGGTTTAGGGGACAAGTGGGGAGGGTGGGTTTAGGGGACCAGCATGGTGGATTCCAATAAAAACCTGATATACAGACCTTGGGGACACGGGGCTGGGACATGGGGTGGGTTTAGGGACCAGCATGGTGAACTACATTAGAGCACCAGAGAATGAGACCTTTAGGGTTTGACTTGAGGACACAGGACTGGGACACGGGGTGGGTTTAGGGGACCAGCATGGTTACATTAGAGCACCGGAGAATGACGCCTTTTAGGCGTTTCATATCACTTTGAGGTCTTTGAACGCCTGCAGAGACATAAGAATGGTCTTCTGACCAGAACCTTCAATAATTAATTCCAAACGAGGTCAACATGTCAATTCGATGGTTCGCCTCCTTGTACTCACAAAACTATCAGAAATGGGGAAGAAAATCAGTCCCATTCATGCGTCCCGCGATTCCACACCAGCCCTGGATTGCCATGCTGACATGCATGCTCTATGTACATATGTTTGTGTATGCGTCCCTGTGTATGTGCATGCATGGCACAATGCTTGCATGCATCTATGATCATCCATGCATGTATTTATGTATTTATGTATTTATGTATTTATGCGTTTATGTGTTTATGTGTTTATGTATTTATGTATTTATGTATTTATGTGTTGATGTATTTATGAATTTATGTATTTCTGTATGTCTGTCTGTCTGCCTGTCTGTCTGTCTGTCTGTATCTTTTAACCCACCTTTTCTGCAAGCTATGTGTGTGTATGCATGTCTCTATGTATGCAGGTAGGTATGTAGGTATGTAGGTATGTAAGTGTGTAGGAATGTAGGTGTGTAATGCAATGGTATGTAATGTACTGTAATGCAATGGTGTGTAATGTAATGTGATGTGATGTAATGTAATGTGATGTAATGTAATGTAAAGCAAAGAAATGAAATGAAATGTAATGTGCTGTAATGGTATGTACTGGAATGTGATGTGATGTAATGTAATCTAATTATACAATGGTATGTAATGTACTGTCATGTCCTGTAATGCAACGTAATGTAATGTATTGTAATGGTATGTTATGTGAAGTAATGGCATGTTCTGTACTGTCTTGTAAAGTGACGTCATGTAACGTTGTGTAATGTAATGGTGTGTGACTTAGTGTCATGTAATGTAATGCAATGTAATGTAATGGGATGTTCTGTTATGATCTGTTATGATCTGTTACCCTCTGGTAAACTAACATAACTATGGAAAATCACCATTTTTATTGGGAAAATCCACTATTTTTATGGTCATTTTCAATAGCTATTTTGAAATAACCAGAGGGTATGTGGTTTAAAGGCTCGGAGAGCAGAAGCACTCCGAGCGCCCGAAGGCTCTAAGGCGTGGAATGTCTGCGTGCATCTGCCCATGTCACTGCGTGCTTCAGTGCGGAAGCGCGTGTAGGCTATGAATGCATCCATTTAGCGCTATCTCTAGCGCTATGTATCTCTTATGTCCCTGTGGGTGACACTTTTCGGCGTTCCAAGCGATCCACTTTCCGGCACTCCAAGCGAACCCCCGACCGAGTTTGTCCTACACCTTGTCCTTTTTGTGGCCAGCATTGGCCAGGTGATTCTTACTCAGGGTGGGCAAATTATGGAATAGTGCAATTGGCTTCAATCATATTCCATAATGTGAGCCATGTTCTAAATGTCCACAAGGGTTTAGAACGTGGCTCATGTGGTGTGGCATTGTCCCGTGTGGTTCAGCCGTCCGGATGTTTCAGGACATATCATCACTTTTCGATCGGGGGGAGATCCATCAGTTCTTAGGGGTCACTGCCGAAGAGTTATACGACGTTATACGTATAACATCTTGGCAGCACCAGCACTCACATAAAAACAAGTTGCTTTTCGGAATTTCGACAAAAACATGATTTTCCAAGAAACTCATATATAATTTAAAAAATAATATAAACTCACACTTCTTTGTCACCACCGATGCTTTTGGGATATTTTGGCGTCCTTACAGCCGTGTACCTTGAGATCCCGCAGGGGATCCCAGTGATACGGCTCTTCCGAGATGCCGCCGTCTTCCAGAATGGCAGCCACCAAATCCGGCCTGGCCATTCGGTGGCCAGTGGCTGGTGGTGAAGTTCTGCTGTTTTTTTTGGATGAAACATGATGAAACACACCATGCTTTCTATGGTGATTTTACCAAGGACAACGCGTGTTTTAAGCCCATGAGATCAAGTTGCGCAATTTATGACAAGTGGAACTTTGGTTTGCGCAAACAAGAACCCATGGTTTGACCATCCACCATTCATCCTCTATTCCGCAAAGTCGACCATCAGCCCATCATGAACCAATGGAGTTTCTCCGACATGGACAGCCCAGCACCTCATTCTGTCAGCCAAATGTCCTTTTTGTTTCCTTGGCATATCGGTGTCGCTGGCGGGGTGGCCGGATATGATGGCGAAATTGGAGTCCCATGGGCCCATGGAGGGGTTGGATCATCTGAAGCAATCCCACGTATTGATGACATGATACATGTCCACCTCCAATATCCATCCCCACCACTTTTCAAAATATGAACAAAACATAACAAAACACAACAAGAACTTGGTGAAATGTGGTCGATTCAGAATCGTTCAGCCAAAAAAAAGACTGAAGACACAACAAAACACATCCAGATTCATCATCCAAAAAACTCCCCCGAGTGCTCCGAGCGAATCCGCCGAGTTTCCGCTTGCCCAAGACATTGCGAAACCAATCGCTGTCACCATCCAGATGTGGCTTGGATTGCAAAAGGTCCGGCCTGGCATGGGGATAACTGGTCGACCTGGTCCAAAAAGATGTCTACAACGACTACTATGACTACTATGTCTACAACGACTATTATGACTACTATGACTACTAATTGTTTAATTAATTACATTGACATATTGATTACTCTTACTTTGGACATTTCACCAATGTTGATGGAGTATACGTGCGCCTGGAACTGAATCCAGTCTGGACAGTATCACGTAGGCATCATGGTAACGTGGCAATGGTGAATCCATGGAAGTCCTCTATACATAGAGGTTTTAATGGGATAACCAATCATCGAACCAATGGTCACACGAGGATATACAGTATTATACATGCTTATGAAGTATACATGTTTATGAAGATTATGAAGATTATGAAGTCTTGTCCTACCATGGCAGCCTCCAAGACCATCACATCAGTATGCTATTGGGCACCTAGACTGCCAGGCTAGTGTCTCTACAATTGAAGGGACTGGATTTCTGGATTTCTGAAAACAGCACACCTACAGTCTGCAGTCCTACAGTACAGTATAAATGCAAAAAAACGTTGAAATGATCATCCACCATCATCCACCATCATCCACCATCATCCACCATCATCCACCGTCTTATTCTCTTAATGAAAACAAATCCACCCGCTTTCACCAAAACCATCTCCAACCCCGTTTCCATCCCTTTTCCCCCTTTAAAAGATTTTAAAAGACTCCAGACACCTCAGTTTCCAATCCGAATCGTACGCTGTGGCCAGCAAGCGCGGTCGATTCGAGGCCGGTCGTGGCAGTGCCATCATCTTCCCGGCCGAGAGATGGAACACGTTGCGGGAAGGACACACGTCCTCCGTCACCTGGCGATGAAGTGATTTCGTAGATGGCCAATGTAAATGGACCAAATGGGGCCTGAAAATGAACTTGCCATGGTTGCGAAAATCATTGTCCCCGTTTCAAACTGCCATTGCAGGCGATATCCCCTGGACCAAGCCAACTAGACAATTTGAATTAAACAAAGTCTCCAGGAAGGCACGGAGTTTTCAACAAGCAGGACAATGGATCGCCATGGATCGCCCATATCCCCATGGGTGGCCATCACCGAAAGTGAGCGAAGAGAATATCTACATAAATTCTACATATATATCATCATATATCTACCTTTGTATACCTAAAAAACATAGGAGAAACCATTACAGTCCTGTCCTGTCGGAAACAGAATCGACGATCCCTATCCTGTGGTACCCAAGCACCCCGCTCTGCGATCTGTCCAGAAAACCTTGTTGAGTTTTATGAAAGATAGATGGCTCATATGACTCATTCATCATGGGGTAGATGACCCTTCAATCATTAATCTGAAAGTTCAGTCAATTGTATAAAGGGCAAACTGAATTTTGCCGACCTCGCTATATCAGTGCTGTTGCATCCGATTGGTCTAAATACATGGTGAGACACGTTAAGACATATAGTACCGCCAAATATATTTTGGCCAACTGATCACGCATGTTCTTTGTTGACCCTCTATAAGTCCGAAAATCCACAGGCATAGAAGCATGGACACGTGATGGCACGATCACTAGTGGGTACCGTTTACAGCGGCTATACAGAACCACTTGCAGCGGTGTTTCGCATCAAACATGTGCACCCAGAGCCAGCTACTTGCGCTTGACTCAGATGGTCGCTCTAAACAGGGGTGGCTTTACTGCACAGTGACACCCACGGAAATCCTAGAGAAACCCTAGCATATCCCCAAGTTGTTCCCAACTCAATCCTGGGTCAATCCCTGGTAAATCCTTGCCTCTCTCTGCGGCAGTAGAGTGTCAATCAAAGTGAATAACAAACATCCAAGATGTGGAATGCATCCCGTGGATTTACCATACAACTGGTTCACAACGACACTCCCATAGATTTCCCAAATCTTTCTCATCTTTTTCCCAACCTTTTCATTTTCCCAAGTCTTTTCCAGTTTTGCCTCCCAGGCCCCCTCTGTGCTTTGGAAACGATTCACACAATATTCACACTTTATCCCCACTGGTTCCTAGCATTTTCCCAATTGTCTCTTTCCTGGCCATCCCAATGTGTTCATACCTTTCTCCTAGTCGTTTCGACAGGGTGGAAAGCGTGTCAGGCATCGACAAGTTTCATTCTAAGGTCGGGGAACAGGACTCCGTTTTCTTGCACAAAGGCAACTGTAATACGCAATACTGGCAATACTGACCCAGCTTGGAACATCTTGGAACCAACATGTTTCTCTTTTGTCTGACCAAATGACATGTGAAACGTGGAATGCCCTGCCGGCAGCACATCATTGTGGATCTCTGGAGGAAACCATGCTTGCCGTGGTTAAAGCACGTGGGATTTTCCTGGTCTAAAATTGGAGGAAGCAACCCTCATAGTCAAGTTTACAATCTATAGCTTCCCCAAAACTCAGCAGGTTCCATCCCCAACCCTGTTCCACCATGACCTGTGGCCGTCGGGAAGTGGTCTTGACCAATCGTTCCAGGCCGGGCAAACCTACGGCGCTACTCATCTTCTGCAACGCCTTCTGTCGGCTGAAGCCCAGGATCGTCGAGGACGTGGAGCCAAACGTTGAGCGCCCCAAGCGCTCGCTGTCGCGGCGCGGCATGCGCTGCATGCCATGCGGGGCTCACAGTACGGCGCACCAGGGCGGAACGGTGCCACGAAGCTCTCTGCTTGGCAGAGAATATCGTGGCCCTTTCTGAACCAAAGATGGCTATATATGAATCTATATGATCTATATGGATCTATATGGGATATAATCTCGGATAGGGTTACAAGAGTGAAGAGCAGGGGGTCTTTCTGAACAAACGCAGAATATGATTGGGGACACTGCTGGGGTCTGTCTTTTGAAAAGGGCTGCAAGTGAATTAATACATGGTTATGACTTGTGACAGCAGGGTCGTCATGTTCAACGGTTTCTATGTTTGTCTGATTCCCTGTGAGTCTACCTGGGAGTATCCGCTTGGAAACAGATTGCTGTCCTCTCACTCCACACACTATGCACTACCGAGGTTCTGATTGCAGATCTTCGATCACACTAATTGAGGTGATTCTGCAAAAAAAACCATTGATCTGCAGTTGCAGTTGATGTTGTGTGTTGCCAGAATTGGCCAAGTTAAGGTCTGTGCAGCTTGACGCCATCCGGTCGATATCAAACGTCCACCAGGGTAGTTGGAAAGTGAAGCACAAACTGTTGTTACTGTGAACCTGCCAAGATCTCGCATAAGAACTGTGAATTTGGACAACTTGATTCTTGCTCCAAGAATGATCATATCCACAAAACTTTCTGGGCATCAGAAAACATCTGGAAATACATCAACTCCTGTCCCCGAATATTGAAAAAACTTGGATTATAATCCAGTTAAGTTCATCCAATTCTGTTCATCGCAGTATTTTTTTAGTTTCCAACATTTTTCCACATCAACTCCCATCGATCCCACATGTTTTTTGGTCACTCTGCAGGTCTCTGCGCTTGCGCCAGCGCAAAGACTCGGGCAATCTCCTGCACGGCAGGGAATCGTCATCCCTGGCATTGTTTGAGATGAACGGACCATTTTATTTTATAAAACTTCTTCAAGGTGATTCAGTATATGTATATGTATCTGTATATGTATCTGTACATGTATATATGTATATTATGTATATGTATATATGTATATGTATGTGTATATATGTATATGTATATATGTGTGTATATATATACACATACGACATACATATGGAAACATCACACGAATTCACCAGCCTAAAATAAGACCATGTTGAAAGATACTTACCACTACTAACCATCGTTCCAGTCGCATGGTTATGATTATTCTATGTGCATGTTTCAGCAAAAAAAATGGTAAATGTTCAGACACTGACAACCACACCAGACGGGGTCTTACCTTAATTGAAACGCACGAATAATCTATCACATGTTACAGTCAAACCAGTCTTGTGTTGGGATGAGAAAACATACAGACAAAAAGAATCCAAAATCTAGGTTTTACACATACAACGACTGATGTCCAGGTGTTTCCCACAAGAGCATGGAGCAAGCAACGACTGATCTTCCAGCTCATTACCATCCTCAATCAGCCCTGATCCTCTGGCAATGGCTCAAGATTACCAGTCCCCAATTACCAGTCCCCAATGGCAAATGCTGAAAAATGTGGAGCCACATGGCACCACAGTGGTGTCCAAATTCATGACATTTCATGACCCATACCCAGTACCTATCATCCTTACCATCGGTTTCACCATAGATTGTGGTTTCCACCATCCAAGATGCATCCGGCGATGGCTCGTCCAAATCAAAAGCAAAACAACTACTAAATCATCCGAAACATCGCAATTAGATAATCCATCATCATTTTTATACTTGTGACACTCATATCTTCAGAACCTCAACTTGATGCTCAATGATTTTCACCATGTTTCACCATGTTTCACCATTTCCAACGTCTTGCCATAGCCGCCCTGGCGCACTCCTTGGTTGGCACGCCACCCTTCTTGGCCGCGTCCCTCGCTTTCTTGATGGCAGAAGGATCTCCGGATCTGGGGCGATGGGCGAACATGTCAGGCTCGATGGGTATGGCACCAATGGATCCACCAAATTGGTTGTGTTTATAGAGTATTCAACCATCAGCAACCATCTATATGTAATTATATAAGGGATGTATGTGTATATATATATACACACTATGTATATATTATGACTTTGAGACAGTCCCATGTAACTAGAATCACTGAACAGATCTGAACAGCAATCATGCAATCATCATTTTAATAGGATCCAAGGGTCCAATCTGAAACTCAAATGGTTTTCCAATGATTGCTGATCATCATCCCCGGCGGGACGGAAAAAAACTCGCCTAGACACCACCAGCCGGAGACATCATTGGTTGACATTGGTTACCCATCAGACCCCCATGATATCCCTATGTTTGATCGTTTTAGATCATTTTAGATGGTTACCCTCTAGTTACTTAACAGTTTGCTAACTGGAAGCCATGGCCCATAGATATTTCGGTGATAAACCATGATGCTTTTCCTAGCTTCAAAAGGGTTATTTTCCAGTTCGCAAATCGTTCAATCACCAAAGGGGGAAATCCCCCCCATTAATAGATGATCAACATGATGACATACCATCTATAAACATCTATAATCCATGATCATTTTTTCATTTATGATGATTTACCTATTAAACAAGTTGATTTTCCAGAGTACCCTCTGGTAATTTAACGTAGCTATTGAAAATGGCCATAAAAATAGTGGAATTTCCCATTAAAAATGGTGATTTTCCATAGTTATGTTAGTTTACCAGAGGGTAAATCCCAACCAACATACGGCAAGGGCCGACATCTGAGTGCCCCAGACGCAGCTGCTTCAGCAAAGGCCTCCAACAGTTGCTCCTGACGACAGGTGTTTTCGGCCTGGTTTTTCCCTGTTTTGGCCTATGTAAAGGGCTATGTAAGGGAACATCCCCACAACATATGGCCTTACTATGCCTTACTTATATAGTACAGTAGCTCCATAAAAAATGATCCTGAAGTTCCCATTGTCTTCTTTTGGTTGGACGGTTTATATTGGAACAACTATAGGAAAAAGCACCTAAGAACTTCAGGTCAACTTGATGCCACTTGCAAAGAAAGGGTCAAATTAGATTCAAAGCCTCCAATAGCGAATCGAAACTGTGGCAAGACTTCACGGAAAAAGATCAACCATCAAAGATCATGGAGTCTATGTTGGTTTCAACCGATCTGACCCAGTCCTGTTCTGCCGCAAGTTGCACAGCCAAGGCAGCCTGAGCCTGCAGTAAATGCACGGAAACTCCCAGAATCAAATGGATTTGACTGATAGAATTCTGATAGGGTCTGCATCCAAATGCTATTTGAGAAAAACACATGTTCCGCATTCAAATGGGCATAGATTCGGGGGGGAAAAATTCTGCAAACATCCTCTTCCCGCTCTTCTCGGTCCAAAAAACATCTGCAACATCATGCATCCAAAATTCAGCAAAACCATGGTAAAAATAGCCCACGCCATAGTTATATCATCTTATATCCCATACAAAATCATCCCATTCGGCCAACCTCTGCCATGGCATCTTTTGATTCCAGCCCCCCAGGTGATTTTCGGCGGGGTGAAACGAAAATTGCTATCGACTCACCATTGCACCACATTGGCTGGAATCCAACCTGGCATCTGTGGTAAACCCAAACCGCAATAGTTGGGATGGCTTTAAAAAAATGTTTATATATGCACAAACTACAATAAATTCTAATGTCACATGATTTCTGGCAAAATTGGAGGATTGTTTCTTTTTTGGGGGAGGTTCACAACAGTACTCACGCAGTTGGTAATGCAATGACTCTTGTGAACCTTCTGTTCCCAGAATTCAAAACACGAGGAGTTTAAGCCGATAACTACGTGGAAGTTACAGGTGAGTCTTGCCTAGCATCATGTCACACATTTTGACTACTAGATACTACTACTACTAGATACTACTAGATAGTGACTAATTAGTGACTAATTAGTGACTAATTAGTGACTACCAGACTGCCACAATCATACTCAGGAAATGACTTGAGGGAAATCGAATCACCACGCTGGGTACATCAACCCATGGGGAAAAGAACGTCTCTGTAATTAGTCCCCTTGATGGAAAGACCCACTAGTGCCGCTAGTTGATTAAATGGAGCGATGTTTCATGATTTTTTACTGATTGATGGACTCCCCATTGATTCTAAAGAAAGCCTATCGTTGCCGAACCAAGAAAATTATTTAAACAAACCATCCCACATCAGCTTTTATCCCATCGAATATCATTTCATGTATCATGATTTGTGGAGCAATTTTCTCACCTTCCCAGTCTTGAATAGAGACGAAGAGATATCCTTCATCGTCCAAGTCTTCTGATCCTGCAATCGTGGGTGATGGACGGATGTATTTAAGTGCATGGGTCGACCAGATTCAAACTATGATCGTTGCTATCCTTATTGCTATTGTTGATACTATTGTTGCTTCTACTATCACAGTATATTACAGTCGTCTTTATCATTATATGATATGGCATTATTCCACATTATCATATATTCTCACCATTTCAATCAACTCATACAAAAACATGAAGGGACACGACAGGGGCCCACTGCAATTGAAGACACTGCCCTTAGATGATGACGTTGCAACAATGGTTGAGGTGGATATGGGTCACAATCCCCAAGAATGGGTTGATGGGCCATGATGGGACGTGGATGGGCTTGTTGCTTCACATAGGCTACTCCAAATCTCGTGGTTCATCATTCTCCCTCTTTGTGGAGCGCCATAGATTGGGTATCCCCAATCTGTGACTAAACCCCTAAATATATATATATATTCTATATATATATATAAATATTACATCAAGTGGATTTCTTCCCTAACATCCCCATATGGATGGCTTCCCATGGTTTCCCCATATCCGCCATCATCCCATGGATGCAGGCCATTTGCTGGTCCTTCGTACAAGACTTTGACCACATTACCAGCCTGTAGAACCACCTGGCAGAGTCCGGAAGTCAGAGATGCTGGTCATTCTTGGTATTTCAATAAGAATCCATAAGGTTTCAGAGTAAATCACTTTGAACAATCTGAATATTTGGATATATTTGCCGTTGATTAGAAAACCACCGATTACATCATGTTTCAGAGTAAATCATAGCCTGAGCTTCTGCTAGAGTAAACCGTTTTCGGGAGCGGGAACCCAACAGACTTCTTGACCCGACGTCCGACTCGTGCAGGCATTGATTTGGGGACTCCTTAATCTTTGGCTGTTTGGATGTCCGTAATATGTATATATATATATATACATATATGGTATGTTCCCCAAACTGAGACATAATTGGAACACCATAATAAGTGGTGTGTAAATCATTTCAATTAAATTTCCACCGAATTCAGGGTCCCCAAAAACAAGGCTGGCCTTACACAGCAACCACTGTTTTGCAAACAACTTACAGTAGGTGAGCTGCTTGATCTTGGAGTTTCCAAAACTCACCCCCACATTGTCAACTGATAATTCATCCTGACACTTGGACTACAACCCCAATAAGAACCATCGTAAGCGGGCCACAGAGCCAGTTGCAATTTACCAACCAGAAACAAAAACCAAAACGCACAGTTCGAACTCATCCATCCAGTTGAACCCCCTTAATTTATGTTGGATGATCCAGTTAAATCCAACTAATGGAGATCACCATGTTTAAGAACGGTCAACCATCTATTTCTATGGGCCATCTATACCATGGCGAACTGTTAGTCATAACCAGTTGACGGCCTCAGAACCTTCCGACAGCGTCAGGTCTTCCAGCAAAGTGGCCGTGCCCCTGATACCAAGGCGACGACGACTGAAGTGGCGCTGTTCCCCAAATCTGGGAGCCCCAAACCCACAAAAACCGAAGTTTTTGAGTGTATGGTCATGAAAACATGGAGTTTATGATAAATTATACTTCATGGATGTCCGGGACATCAATGAATTGATCGTACAGGAAATGTCGGACATGGAAATCGTCAAACCGCTGGAAATTTATGGAACCCACCAGGTGTATTCCGATGGAATGACCTTGATGCTGTGGGCACCTACTGAGGTCACATAGAGCCTTAGGGATCCTGAGGGTATGGATGGCTGTGAGAATTCTCATGCTGCCGAAATTTGAATGCGGAAAATAAAGGCTTTATCGTTGGTTTTTCCATTTAAATGAAAAAACTTTGCAATTCACCGGTGTCAAGCAACATCCTTATAAAAAAAAATCCAAGTCTCCCACGATCTATCAATGTCCCTGCTTGCAATCCAACCATAGATCGATCAGGCGCAACGCCGAGCAGCTTGTCGCTGGTCCCATGGGTGGAATTGGTAACAGTTCCATAGCCTCAACAAAGGCCCGAAAGGTCGCCCTGCTGTCACCTCACCCTGTAAGTGCATTCAATTCCTCCATTAAGTTTAATTTACTAGTGATCAATTTCATCCAACTTTTATGAGTATGAAGCCCCACAAGATAAGATGCGCCAATTCCTACCAAAGGCATGCCCCAGCTATCACCTGGTGAAATCACAGCCAAAAACATAAAAAACTCAGCCCTAAAAAACATGTGTTGACCGCGGGAATCAACGATTTAAAAAAGATTCAAAACGTGAAATCATCCCTCCAAAAAATCGGACATGTGTTACACTTTGCCATGGATAATCACCATATATATATATATATACTGTAATTCATACAATTATATATATATAGTATATATATATAGTATGTATATATATATATAGATATCACATGATATCACCATGTTTAATAGGAAAGTCCCTTCTTTGCCACAGTTTTTTGTGGTCTTTTTTCAGCCGGACATCCCATCCCCGCCTTGGTCCGGGGCCTCAGCCACGGCTGGAGCTTCCCAGTCCAAGTCTAAGAGATCTACCTGTGGCGGGTTGGTGGTTGACCATTGGATCCATTGGATCATCCATTGGTTAATCCATGGGGGTTGTAGGTGAATCACATATAGTTAATGATGGGATTTTGTTATGGGATAATCATCAATAATGGGATTATATCATAATAGTAGTTATAATACCTATAATATCTATATAGATAGCTGGTTGGTGGTTGACCTAAACCCCTCTGAAACATGATGGAGTGAGTTCGTCAGTTGGAATCATGACATTCCCAACTGAATGAACAAATAAAATTCATGTTCCAAACCACCAACCAGAAACATATGGGGGGCTTTGACATGGTCACCGATTAACTAACCATCAAGATATTGAGGGATGTTATCATCAGTTCCAAAGATCCTTCTTTTGGGGGGGAAGACACCACTTTTCAGACAGACCCACAGTGGGCTTGTATCATCCAGTCAAAGTAGTTATTTTTAATATCCAATGAACTGGTTCAGTCATGTTCAATCCATATATTACGTGCTCGTTGGTTAAATTGCCTTTTTCGAAGTAGAATGACAATTATAGAGGATATCCAAATTAGAAAGACCAGTGCTTGATATGTAGGTATTGACAATCGTTATATATGATGATTGAGATGAAATCCAGCTACATGTTCATTTGGCCCTGGGCATGGCTGGCTGGCTTTAAACGGAACCAACGAAGGCAACGACAACTGGGTCATGTTTCACCCATCTCCATGGCCTGCTCCACCGATCTCGTCAGCGCCGGGACCACTCTGCTCCCGTCCATCGGGCCATGGCGCCTGTCGCCCCGCTCCCGTCCAGGGCGACCATGGCGGCGGTCGAAGCCGCGGTGGCCCTCCCTGGGTCCCTGGCGAAGTTCCCGACGCACGTCTTGTTGGTCGAACATGGGCAGGTGCACCGCAGGGCCAGGGGGAAGACCCGGAAGCTCCGGATGCATCTGAGTGCATCTGGACTGGTGGCAGCCTGGGTGAAATCTCACAAGAGGGATCTCAAATGGGACAATATTCTCGACATAGATACATGCATAGAGAAATATTCTCATTGATCTTCTTCCATTCTTTTTGGATACTATTCAAATCACCACAAATATGGGATCCAAATCTACATCAGGTAGGGAAAAAATGGCAAGCATCAAACTGGGAACATGCTGAACAGTGTTTCAACCAAGTGACCACTACCTCGGCGTCTCCCATCTGCACAAAGTATGAAGATTCCAACATCGGTTTCCCTTTCCAACCATTATCTACAGTGAGGTCGTTGTGAGGTAGATATCCGAAAAGAATCATGGGAAAAATAGTTGCAGAGTTGATGACTAATAATCAAAAACATGTTTGTGTTGCGTATGCACATCTATGTAGATCTTGCATTCGCATGAACTCCGTGCTAGTTGGCTGATGACTACAGCTACAGCTTATCCATGATAGTTGACAACTATTTCCATGATATTCCACGACATGATATTAGCATCTGTCTGGAAAAATATGTGTTATTCCTTCATTAATACATATATAAGTATATGTAATTATATATATATAGTTGTGTATATATATATAAGTACATACACATTAGTTGTATATATATATATATATACTGTACATATCTGTACATACTATATATCCTTTATTAATAGACATGCATCTGTTATATTCTTTGATCATCTCCATGTCATTCCAAAAAAAAAACGCCGAGCCGCCGAAGCCGCCCAAGGCTTCGCAGAAGAGTTTGGCTTCTCGAGGCGCCAGGGCTCCCCAGGGATCGTCTGAGACCGTCTGGGAAACCTTCGAAAAACACAGGGGAAATCGGTGGGACATGTTGGGCGATTTTTGGGTGAATTATTTTGGGAGTATATGTTTCCCCACCTGCCAGGTGAGGGTTGTTAGATTTTATGTCAGTTGCCTCCTCCTCCTCCTCCTTCTCCTCCTTCTCCTCCTCCTTCTCCTCCTCCTCCTCCGCCTCCTCCTGCCTCGTCCTCCTCTCCTCCTCCTCCTCGTCGTCCTCGTCGTCCTCGTCGTCCTCGTCGTCCTTGCTCAACTGCGACCCGCGATCCACAGTGTTCTCTGCCGGACCTCAACCACGACCATCCACGCCCAGTGTTCCTGCCGGACCTCAACCACGCCATCCACGCCCAGTGTTCCCTGCCGGACCTCAACCACGACCATCCACGCCCAATGTTCCCTGCCGGACCTCAACCACGACCATCCTCGCCCAGTGTTCCCTGCCGGACCTCAACCACGACCATCCACGCCCAGTGTTCCCTGCCGGACCTCAACCGCGAGTATCCACGCCAAGTGTTCCCTGCCGGACCTCATGTAGGAAGATATGGGACAAAGAATGTGCAGAAGAAAAGAAAGAATGTCAGAAAGAATGTCAGAAGATATGCCAGATAGAATAGAAGATATGCCAGATAGAATGCCAGAAGATATGCCAGATAGAATGCCAGAAGATATGTCAGATAGAATGCCAGAAGATATGTCCATAAGATATGCCAGATAGAATGCCAGATAGAATGCCAGAAGATATGTCAGATAGAATGTATGCCAGATAGATAGAAGATATGCCAGATAGAATGCCAGAAGATTTGCCAGATAGAATGCCAGAAGATATGCCAGATAGAAATGCCAGATCATATGCCAGAAGATATGCCAGATAGAATGCCCAGAAGATAGATATGTCCAGAAGATAGATGCAGAAGATGTCAAATAGAATGTCAGAAGATATGTCAGATAGCATTTGCCAGTAAGAAAATGTATAAATGTCATGGTGGGGATCACACGAAGTAAAGTATTTTTTTAGTTATATATATATGTATATATGTATATATGTATGTATGTATGTATGTATGTATGTATGTATGTATGTATGTATGTATGTATGTATGTATGTATGTATGTATGTATGTATGTATGTATGTATGTATGTATGTATGTATGTATGTATGTATGTATGTATGTATGTATGTATGTATGTATGTATGTATGTATGTATGTATGTATGTATGTATGTATGTATGTATGTATGTATGTATGTATGTATGTATGTATGTATGTATGTATGTATGTATGTATGTATGTATGTATGTATGTATGTATGTATGTATGTATGTATGTATGTATGTATGTATGTATGTATGTATGTATATATGGGATAAATAATTCAAAATAATGATACAAAGCAATATATATCCTACTTATGATTTTGAAAAGGAGATAAAAACGCATCTGGAACATCATTGGTATGATGGGATTAGGATCGGAATAATTATATCGGAATACTGATTCACAATCCCTCTCCCCTAGAATGAAATGGGCCACCTTGGTTTAGCATTGGATCTGTTCACTTTGTCCGGCTGGAAGGGATGGATTGAGGATTAAACTTGACCACCCTAGGCGATTGACAGGACCGATGGTCGCCATTAGCAAACCGGCCCGGCCACACCTGTCTCCTGGTGGTCAACAACTCATGTTCCATGCTCTCCAAAAAGTCTTGCACCCACTTTGAACTTCGGCCAAATCCAATGCGATTGTTACTCAAACGCAGGAACAAAGGCACCAGTTGACCCTGTCGATCGCAGGGATATCGGACGGTGGGTCGGCTCCCACAAAGCAGTTCCGATGGGCTCTGCAGGGCTTTTACTGCAGATTCGAGGAGGCTCCTATCGCGCCATAGGACAGATTCAGAAAGGCCATTTTTGTGGCGTCTCTGTATGGTTCTCTCCCATTTTGAGAAAACCCCAATGTGTGGGTCAGTGGGTCCGGTACACAAAATGTGTCTTCTCTTTCTGGTTGGATTGAAATGTATGCCATTGGATAATAGATTACAGCACTGGAACACTGAACCTGGCAGAGAATTTGCTGCTTTAACCATCTTTAACCATCTTTAACGAACAATATCTTTCCGTATCAGCTAAAGATTCACCAACAGTCCAAGGCGTGCCTCTTAAAGTCTTATGATCACCATTGAGACATTGCGGAAGCTGGCAGCCCCACTCAACAGGGTCGAACTATGTCGAACTGGTGGTTACGTTTCTATCAACACCATCTCAAACATCTCAAACAAGAAATGTCCCTTACTGACATCCCTTATGACAGAATTATGACTGAATGATGTGGAACTTATATAAATGATATCTTATAATTAATTAATTTAATTGATTTTAACTGCATATCATTAATATCATATAATTGCATCAAACATCATCAAACTTTTGGAGATCTGCAATTTTCCAATCCCCATCAGCTCCTGGCCCCCAACTCCGAGATCTGGTTGTGCGACAGGTGCAACTCATACAAAGTGTACTGTGAACGCTGCAGATACTGCGCCAGCTGGTTGGCGGCCGCATCATTCAACACGTTGTGGTGAAGGCTGATTTCTTCTACCGGCACGTCGGCGTCACTGAGAGTTTGCAGCAAAACTTCTAAGCCAACCGCAGAAATCTGATTGAAGGACAAGTCAACCAGTGAAACAACGGCCTTGGGTGGCAAACGCTCCAAATGGCTCTGGGCCCATTTACACCAATGCATCAAAATGCGATCATCGATCTGTCTCCTGCTCAGCAAAATCTTCCAACATCGACCCTGCTTCTGTAGCGTATCTTTCCAGGAGTTCTCCGCCGACTTACTGGGATAGACCCTTGGCATCTCCTGATATCCTTTGGATCCCTTAGATCCTTTGGATCCTTTGGATCCCTTGCCTTTCCCATCCGAGATGTCATAGACTCGAAAACCCTTCCTTGCATTTGCTCAAAATGACTTAACCAAAGAAAAAAAACATAAAAAACAATATTCAGCATAAATACTCCCAAGAAAGGATTCCCTATACTCCCTGTCATAGTTTTTTTTGCTTTGGGAAAATTCACAAAGCCAACAAACCCATCACCTTCGGCAAGGCGTCCCCTTTTGGGCCATGGCCCTCCGGCGGTGGATCTCCAACTCCGCTTCCTTCCAGAGATCCTCCAAGGAATCGTCCCTCGGAGCTCCATGGCTGGGACCCCTCAACGGGGCCCGCAACGGGGCAGATCTGGAGCTCAGTCCCCGGTAGGAACTCCAGGCGTTGGAGGTCTGTGTGGCACACTCCTCCTGCGTTGAAAAACTGGCCCTAAGAAACGCCAAAAACATCGCCAAATATCAACAAAACATGTCCAATGTTGGATGGACAATAGTAAAGCGCGTGCAATAGCTACAAATAATTTTCAGAATCTGATTTTTCAGCCCCTATTGATTTTAAATTAGGCCTTATTGATTTTAAATTACAAACATCAACCTTGGTCCAGAGCATCTGCAATAAATGTGGTTCATTCGCAATAGCTACAAATAATTTTCAGAAAATTCCCAAATTATCAGATTTTCCAATGCTAAATTGTAAAGGAACTAATTGAGATTTAGTATGGATGCAGGAAAACAAATCAGAACCAGTTACAGTTCAGCTGTATTTTTTCCCTTCTTCCTTAGTGTTTTTAATTGTGGTTGAATGGTTTTAAATTGTGATTGCATGTTTTTCAAAAGCAAAAACAAAGCAAACCTTTACCAAATCAAAAACTGTACCTTGTTCAAAAAAGCTGTTTTCTGTATTAAAATCCTTTTAAAAAATTGCAAAAAACAGGTCCACAAAGGGTACCCCCTTGCAGGTCCTTGCATTTGCAATTAAAAACTGGAATTAGCACTTGCAATAAGAAACAACCTTCCTGGCTCTAGCAGGCATTTTTTTCCCTTCTTCCTTAGTGTTTTTAATTGTGGTTGAATGGTTTTAAATTGTGATTGCATGTTTTTCAAAAGCAAAAACAAAGCAAACCTTTACCAAATCAAAAACTTTACCTTGTTCAAAAAAGCTGTTTTCTTTATTAAAATCCTTTTAAAAAATTGCAAAAAACAGGTCCACAAAGGGTACCCCCTTGCAGGTCCTTGCATTTGCAATTAAAAACTGGAATTAGCACTTGCAATAAGAAACAACCTTCCTGGCTCTAGCAGGCATTTTTTTCCCTTCTTCCTATCAGAATCCAATGAAGATCCCATCAGAGCCCATCAGAAAAGAGAGGATTTGTCAAAACCTTACAGAAGCCTTTGGGGAAGAGTTGGGATTTTCAATTTACTATTGCAAAGCAGACCCCCCCCCTTAAAAAAAAAAAATAGGGGGGGATCCCCCTTTACTATTGTCGATGTAACATTAAGCTGGTTGATCATCATCGTGGGTAGGGTTGAATATACTGCAAATTATAATTAATTAAATCATACTTGACACTTCCTTCCAGAGATCCTCCAAGCACTCGTCCCTCGGAGCTCCATGGCTGGGACCCCTCAACGGGGCCCGCAACGGGGCAGATCTGGAGCTCAGTCCCCGGTAGGAACTCCAGGCGTTGGAGGTCTGTTTGGCACGCTCCTCCTGCGTTGAGAAAAACTGGCCCTAAGAAACGCCAAAAACATCGCCAAATAGCTGGTTGATCATCATTGTGTGTAGGGTTGAATACAAATCTCATTTGACATCACCAACCAAGTAGATATTTCAAGGGATCATATAAATCTCTGGCCCAGATTTCCAGCATAGGATGGAACATGATGGAACATCTCGAGCCTCTCCTTCAAAGTCAACTCGGCCTTCTGCCACAAGGCATCTATGTCCAAGGAATTTTCCGGAGTGCGTTCAGGTTCAACTTCCTCTGGTTGTTCAGACATGGCGTCCCCTACGGGCCTATGCGTGAACCGAGCCGTCTCGGGCCATACTGGATGTTTTTTTTTTCCCTCAGATGGATGGCTTGAGATCAAGTTGAACCCACCCCATGGGGCAAAACACGATCTTACTCTTTACTGCCAGGTTTCACGAAACTTCAGATGATAAACTCCGCCACACTTGTTAGTTAGGGGGTAATTGCAGGGGCCTTTCTTGAACCATAACTTTTGCTGTTGGACTTGGTCTTTGGTCCTACATTTCGCAGTGCGTCAACGTTGGAAACCCGCTCCAACCATCAGCCGAATGACCTGGCCATCCAAAGGTGCTTGCCAAATGGCGGAGCCAAGAACCAGTTCGGGCGGCTGCTATGGTGTGCATGTGGTGCATGCTGCTGGGCGCTCGACCCAAACCAAGCAAAACCCGAGCAAAGCCCGAGCACTCTTGAAAAAAAGGCAAGCAGAACCAATGACCAAGCCTGTTCACCAAAAATACCAAATCTATCCAAATCTGACTAAAGCAAGTTGAAACAGTTCAGATCCTTTTTGAGTCCAACGTTGATGTCCAAATGCCACATCAAAGCTTTGAAATTTGACAAATCCAAAGCCTTCTCTTCTTCAGCCCGCTGTTTCGCTTCCGCTTCTCTTCTGATCATCTCCTGCTCCTCAAACTCAAACAAAAAACACCAAGGGGAACATGGAATCCCGAGATGGTCCGCCGGGCCAGGCTAGACCCCCATCGCCAGCCCGATGATTAAGGCTATGGGCGTCTTTGTTGATCACCAAGTTGCACCCATCACTTCAGTGCCTCTCCATCCCAGACAAAACTTCTGCGATGGTCCTGTTGGGCCTTTCTTCGTTCTGCCTCTTGCCTCAGGTGATAGCCACACCTCCTTGGGTTCGTCAAAAAAATGTTAATGTTTATTGATCTCAGACCTAGTTGTGTTGTGAGTCTGTTCAGTCAAATAACTTCTGGCAACCGTGGCTTGCGTCGAGTTTCACTGGTCTTATCCCATGCCCAGAGTGAGTTGCAAGCCTGGTTAATGAACACCTATATTATATATAGGAATTAAGTGCGAAAATCCAAGTGACTGTCTGCTCCCCTACATTCAGCCAATCTGAATTTAAATGAATTCAGAGACACAACTTGTTTAGTGGTCCACTGGTTCTAGTTCATATCTCCACCATCTGCCGTCACTGATATGGCTCATGAGGCTCACCAAAAATTGTCAGACAATCCTGATTTAGGGATAATTCTGTTGAACTTGCATCTCCAGTTTGATTTTGTGATGAAAATCAGAGATTCATCTCCATTTTTCTTGGCTGAAAACCAAGATTTTCCTGGCACTTTCTCGACCCCCAATGAGGTGCCAAACTGTTCCCGGAGCTTCGCAGCCCTAGCAGCCTTGACCGGGCCAGTGATGGAAAAATGTGGCCCGGAAGGCCTGTGTTAGGGTGAAAACCATGGTTTCCTGTAGGTGTTACATTTTTGTGGGGAACAAAAATCATGGTTTCCCAATTAAACAATATTAAACAATATTAAACATAGGTTTGGTTTCCGGGTGACTTCATATTGGGAGAGATTGTAGTTAGCTCAAAACCTGCAATTTTGGAATATGTTTGCAAAGGCACGATTCATTGGATAGTGGGGAATGGAGTGCTTGAAAGGCTAAAGGGCCTAAGAGCCACAATGAAATTGTTATTCTCAGTCCTGGACCGCTCAATTCTGACCTATCCCGAAGTAAGATGGGACAATGCCCAACCTTGCCAAAAATCAATGGGAGACAAGCCAGCAGTATTGCTACAACGATGGCATTACCCATCGAAATGCAGATGCAGCCACTGCCAATGCCACTTGCCACCTCTGCTAGAGGCAGCATTTGGCTTTGTTCCAAAAATTGGGGCCCCAATCCACCGGTTGATCAAGTTGGCTATCCCTGTTGTGGTAATTACATTCTCTATGCTTTCACCACGGTGTTTGAATCCCATTTTGGACATCCCGTGAACTATCCCCAGATCAGAATTTGATGAAATCCCAATTTCGTTTTAGTCAATTTGCCCCAGTAAAACCTCCATTTACAATAATTATAAGGGATTTTCATGGATTTTCCAGCTAGCGACGTTTCTGGAGGATACCCATTGTGGTTACTGAAACAACCACCATTTTTGTTGCCGAAACCCCATCCCATGGGCGCCATGGGCCACAGCGGGGCAGACCGGACCTCCTCTTCCCGCCGCTTTTGGTCCATCCTTTGCTCCGCTTCGCGCTGTTCCCGCAACCTGACTTCCGCCGGCATGGGAGCCAGGGCCCATATATTAGCCCATTGACGAAAAAATGGTGGTTCTTCATCGAGCAAACACCTATGATGTCTTATCTTATTATTCTTCAGTGACTAGTCCAATTCTGATTCCAAACCATTCCACATTGCTGTCAGGCTGTGCCTCTGCTCAGCCTGTGCTGCATTGGCACCTCACGAGGAGAACACCATGGAAGACGGGCTACCCAGGATGTAAGTATATAAGAAATACTGTATGTGAAGCAAATTACACTTTTACCACACTTGCCCCACATTGTACGAGACTTCTCGCCTTTCACAATGTGAAAACCCGCCAATCTGAGGTCAGAACTGGCTTCTGGGGGGTTCTGCCTGGGTGATCGGCAGAGTTGATGAAACCCACCAACCATTCGTGGTTGCCTCGGCTACATTTCTTTATCTTTTATGAGTCTTAAAAAAGAGTTGCAGAACAAAAAACAGTCTTAAATCGTTCAGGTTTGGGGCGCATCAACTTCAACTAAATCACAAAATCAGCAAAGTATAGAAAAGTGGGGATTATTGAAATCACATGAAATCACGTCCATCAACTGTTTCAGGTTTTTTGCAGTTGCCTTCCTATTTTTGGCAAATGAAGGGGCGAGCTTGGGACTCTGACAAAGCTGGAACCTGTTCTATCCATGGCTTAGCTGAAATTCCAAACGCTCATGATAATATGACGCCTTTGTTGGATTTTTGGGTCACCCACATTCGAACACCGTAGATGGGCAATAGAAGGGCCATTTTGGGATAGTTACCTCAATCCAATTTCCATCATTCCAGTGCCCTCCCAGGTTGTTGCCAGGCCGCGAAATCGTTGCTTGTGTCTTCGAGGCCTAATCGGAAACGCAAGCACAAATGGTTTAAACACCTGGAAAAACATAGATTTCTCTGGAGGTGAAACGAACACAACCCAAAAAGTTAGGAAAACATAATTAGGAGCTTTGAACATGTTCAACGCAATCTATTAATCAGCTGAATAGCATGCGCAAAGTTAAATCCTCAAGATGGAAGGCAAAAAGCGGTCCAAGTACAAATCATGGATCGATGAAGACGCACCCTCCCGTGACGATTGTGTTGGTTGGTCTCTCGCATTGTAAACGTTTTATAACTTGAAACGGTTTGAAAAGGACTTAATATATGTAAAACCAGTTCAACGAACTTGGGTTTGACATGGTTTGACCTTAAACCAACAGAATCATCATTTTTTCGCGGTTAAGGATGTTGTAACCCATCCTTCAACCAAATTTGGGATGGTTTGGCCATGTCTCGTAGAGGGCCTGGTTTGAATGGTTTGAAGCAGGCAGCCTGGAGGCCTGGGAGTGCAGTGCAACTGTTGGAATCTAACAGAATCAAATGGATATAATGATATATATATATAATTGGGGCGAAGGCTGGGGGTTCCCCGGAAGCCAATTGCATTTTATTTGTATGGATATGGAAAATGTTGATTTTACATTGTGTTTTACAGTGTTTTATGCTTTTCTCTGAAAGTGTTCGATCAGCCAAAGTTTCAATGTCGGCGCGGATAAATTTGACGTTTGTCCGTGCAGAAAAATGATAAATTTACATCTTCCATGGATGGCCAAACATGTGTGCAACATTCTAACCATTGGAACTGCGGTTTCATGCATTTTTGGTCGTTTTGTTGATAACTAGAAAATGTCATAATTCACCGGAGAACCATGGACGACATGAACATCACACCTTTTTCATCTTCACGTCCACAAAGGCTTTTTGAAGCAGTTGCTTGGAGCGAGAGCAACAACGATACTTACAACGTAACAACATCGTCAACGAAGCAACATCCTCAAGGTTTCCACAACTCTGAATCCAACGCGCTCCACATGACGTTATTACACCCCCCCCACCCCCCCACCCCCAATCTCTATACAATAACGACGTTTGTAGTATAGGCTCAAGACTGAGGGTTCCTGGAAGCTCCGGGGAACCCCCAGCCTTGGGCCTATAAGTATATAATATCATTTAAGATCATGTATATATAGTCAGTCAGTTATATATATATAGTATATTGATTGTGTAAATGATGAACATCAGTGCATTCATTTTCACAATAAACTACGAGGATATATATATATATATGTATATGATAGCGATACCTCCTCAAGTTGATGTACCTCGGTACCCACGACATCTGTGGCTCGCGGAAGCAGAGCTGCCCACGGAGGCAGGAAAGGCCGGTTTCAAAAGCACACCGTGCTGAGGGTGTTGACCTGTCATTCAGAGCCGGTTCCCAGATTTCCGTTTTTTTGATGCCACAGATTGCTGCAAATTGACGCCAAATAACATCAAATACCTTCTTAAATGGTGAACAAATCGTACTGCAATTACATGAAAATACTCACCACTCAAGTTCTCCATTGTTGAATGCGACAAGATGCTCAAAAAACATTGACCAAAAGATTGCTAGTGATAAAAAACAATCTTGCAAGTTGATCAAACATGTCAGCCGAACACATCATCCATCCACCCGCATCCTCCAAACGTAGCCAGCCATGGTAGGTTTGAGTCCTTGGTGAGTTTCCAACTGGTTGAGGAGATCAAAGTCATGAGGGTTGTAGGTCGTCATTTTTTGAGTCTCCAATGGGAGAATCAGTTGAAAAAAAATGAAAAAAACATTAATAGAGAGATTCCAAACATTCTGAACATGAAAAAAAAGGGCAGCAACATTGGGAGATCAACAACCATCACAGGGTCAACATCCAACTGGCTGGCAAAATCATTCTGGTTCTACGGATCATTTCTGGATCACGGACTGACCACTTCCACTGGAGGGGTGGTGGTCCATCAAGGACTAAGGACTTGGCTCTGCCAGTACCACCTGTCGGCCGGCATAGTCCAAACTGATTTCAGACCCAAACTTGAACAAAGCAGTTCACACAATAGAAACTCTCAGTCCTCCAAATGGCCAGCAATCTATGGGTTCACAATCTTGAGAGCAACCCTCTCCAAGCTACAATTCAATGGGCATCATCATCCTATTGGCTCTAGATAGTTTAAAGCGCCAACCACATGGGGTATGTGCATGGATCAAGTTTGGGTAAATATCCACCAAACTGGGACATTTTAGTAACTTCTCATCGTCTCATCGAAATCTATTTACCCCAAATTCAAATGGTCCGAAGCATCCACCATGAAATTCTGTCAAATCTGGTAATTTAAGCATGTCAAGTCCTTAAATCCGAACTCAACATATCTTTCATTCATGCCAAACAACTCATAAATAAGTTCAATCCCAATGCATCCATATATTCATCCGAGTTCATTTGGAGGTTTCCTAAGCGTGAAATCATCCATATTCATAGGATATCCCATATTGTTCCATTATAAACCATGGAATACACACACACATATATATATATTCCATAGTATTCCACATTATACCATAATTATAAATCCGCTATACATCATTGTTATTCCATATGGTTCCAATGGATTTAATAGGAATACGTGTTATAAATATTATTCCATTTATTACAAATATATTCCATATTATTCCATATTGTCCATGTTGTTCCAATGGATTTAATAGGATATTTCATTATAATAAATGGAAAAAGGATTTGTATTCCAATGGATATTATTCCATGGATTATGATGAATGGATATTTATTGGATTATTCCAATGGATATTTTATTATAAACCATTCAGCTATTGGGGATACCATGGAAACCCTGAGCCGCCCACCTCTCCGAAACCTCGTGCGCTGATGATGCTGGCTGAGGTCGAGGGGGCCGAGCGAACGGCCACGCTGGGGTGGAAGACCACCTGCCACGGTGCAGTTGGAAAATGCAAATTTTGGATAATTTTGGGATAAAGATAAGGATTTCATATGGATTTTACATGGACTTAATATGATTCAATATGGATTTTACATGGACTTAATATGATTTAATATGGGTTTTACATGGACTTAATATGATTTAATATGGGTTTTACATGGACTTAATATGACTTAATATGGATTTTACATTATATGATTTAATACGGACTTAATATGGACTTAATATTGATTTAAAATGATTTCACTATTTAAACCGACCAAAATTTGGATATGTACGTTTTTTTGGGGGGAAATCAAAGGGACATCACTCAGCAAACAAACTCATCGGAAGAAACTTACCAAAAAAAACCTGGAGCACTTGTAATTTATGGGAAATTCAAGGAAGCATCAAGAACCCTGAATGATTGGGGGATGCGTATCATGAAAAATAAACAACAAATATATACATATATATAATCCGCCGACCCCTGCCACCAGCAGGGGGAGCGCGTCAGAGGAGGCCTTACTAGCAACAAGATGCAAGAAGGGGCGAAGAGAGAACTTTGGACAGACGACGCAGGCCATGGTGTTTGAGCCCTGCGAGGGGGTCCCTTGACCGGAGCCGCGCCGGACGAAAGCCAGCTGTCAGACAACGCAGGCAAGTTGGCAGTTGGCAGTGCAGGAACGCAGGTAAAGTCAAGGTTTGGAGCTAGTTTCTAGTTGGTTCAGAAAGTAACGTTTGGCAGTCTGGGCTACGGGCCGCGGGCCCAATCCGTCCTTAGGCCAGCTCCAGGAGGACACGAGCAGGGTGGCAGTTGGCAGTGCAGCTCTCCACCCGGTGGCCTCAGAAGGAGTTTGCTGGCTTCCAATCAACATGTTTGCTTTGCTTCGATCTGATTCAAATACATCAACTCTGCACACAGCAAAAACCTATCTCCTTGACAAACAGCTTCCGCAGCCAACCTGTAACTTATATGTAATTATCTACTCTCAGTCTCTGCTAGATCTGCTTATATATAAAGGCAACTCAACTCCATGTGCGCATACCGCAGCAAAGTCACAGCCACCCTTCAACCAACTCGCGCGCGTCCTTCCGGCTCAAGCGCCCGGACGACTGCAACATGCCGATCGTGCACTGATGCAACACACGTTCCTGCAGGACGACCCACATTCTGTCAGAGTGCTGGCACGGTCACATGTTCTTCAAATGAATATACCGACATTACGTATAGATATTATATGGATATATATATATATATATCATATATATATATATCATATATATATATCATATATTCATTATGTGCGTGTGCCTGCGTGTCTGTGTGTGTGTTGTCTGTGTTTGTGTCTCTGTCTCTGTCTGCCTGTGTCTTTGTGTATATTTAGTGAGGTCAACCCCTGCCTGCGACACCCTCGGTGCATCACCAACCGACGCCGCTGGGACAGCAGCAGCATCGTTGAAACCCATGCGCACCTCCTGCACATCTCATTGCTTGCATCCCAACACAAGGTGCCCAGCAGTGTAACGGGTTCTCATTCTGTACGATACTTACACCACTTCACATGTCAATCCTATTCGATCCCATTCATTCTCGAAACTTGCAACTTACCCTGCCCTTTGTTGGTAATCACCCTCCCTAGATACCAAGCCGAAAGACCACGACTGCCTGTCAGGTTCATATAAGTATCAGTCTTGCACTCTACTAGTGGCTTAACTTCCACTCTGACACCCGGCCTCAGATGCTTGTAATATGGCACCACCAGAAGGCGCAGCAGCCACTGCAGCAGCACCACCAGACGGCGCAGCAGGGACTGCAGGAGCTGTCTCAGGCCCCATGGCCGCCTCCACGGAACTCAACAGATTTGCTGTCGCGGAAATCATATTCAACAGCCTACGCAACCAAATTCCATGCATCTTGAACATACCATACCACAGGCTACTTGCAACCCCTTTGCCACTGCTTCGCACTCCAGATGCAGGTTGCTTTTTGTCCAACTTGCAAGCAGACCTCCTCCATAGGCGCAGGACATGCAGCATTGGCCGTGCATACCTCCATTGCCAGCAACACAAGAAATCAGGATTCCAGTTCCTCTGTTTAGGAGTCGACCACAGTATGAAATGTGGATCAACAACAATGATGACATATGCTAGCTGCATTTGGCAGACATTTGTATACTTCCGTTCCTACCATGTGTGCCGTGGACAGTCAGCCCCTGGTGACCACAAAACCCTCAAAGAAGACTCCGTGACGCCCACCTGCTCGGTCACGAACGTAGTAGCCAAAGCAGTCTGCAACTTTGCCAGCCCGTCATCTTCAAGACAACCAGGTTTCACAAGTAGTTTGTCACCATCTCGCTCCAATTCAAGCTTCAACCCGACCTCCTGCCACACCATGCTACTATTACCCCATGTCACCTATTCCGTCGCATCCGATCCCTCAAATAATCCTGTGGCCCAATCCCGTCCGCTTTCACCCCTGCAGCTACAGTCCTGCTCCAGCAACTTCGTCATAGAATCCAGGTCACCCTTCTGCCACGGGTCAGCATACACGCCGCCGTTTCCATGATATTTGGTCAAGCGAAACATGCCCTGCTTGTCACTTACTCTTGCGTCCTTGAGCCCACCTTTTCCTCGTTCAACAATGTTTTCGACAATGCCTAGTCCTACACTTCGAATGTTTCAGATTGCCAACTCAAGCAATGTATTGAAGGTCCTGACATGACCCATATCCAAGAATCCGTCCAAGATTCCATGGTGAACAGACAAATAGACTAATCTTATATACGGACACTAAGAATCTTATTGTCTACAACTTCCGACATACTTCAAATGATTGCAAAATATTAACAACAGAACGCCCAAGATTTCCCACGGAAGGCGCCATCCCCAAAATCACTATTTGCCATCCCTTTGGATCTTATCCGCTCACCTGGTAGTGAAGAGCTGGAGGGAGCATTTCCACCGTTGACTTGGCTCTTACCGTCTGCATTCAAGAAAAGATTACATCCGCAATTGCAGACGATAAGATTCTTATCGTCTGCTTTCAAGAAGTGATTACATGCCCCATTCAAGAAGAGATCACACTCCCCATTGCAGTCTGCATTCGAGAAGAGATTACATTCCCGCATTGCGGACACTCATTATCATCTGCTTTCAAGAAAAGCTTGCAACCCCCATTCAAGAAGAGATTACAACCTGCCCTTGCAGACCAAAAGAATCTTAACGTCTGCATTAAAGACAAGATTACATCCCCCATTGCAGACGATAGGATTCCTATCGTCTGCTTTCAAGAAAAGATTGCATCCCCCATTGCAGACGATAAGATTCTGATTGTCTGCATTCAAGAAAAGTTCTCATCCACCATTCAAGAAGAAATTCCATCCTTCATTGCAGATTCAAGAAGAGATTACATCCCTCATTCAAGAAGAATTTCGATGCCCCATTGCAGACGATAAGATTCTTATCGTCTGCATTTAAGAAAAGTTCTCATCCCCCATTCAAGAAGAAATTGCATCCCCCATTGCAGACGATAAGATTCTTATCGTCGGCATTCAAGAAGAGTTCTCATCCCCCATTCAAGAAGAAATTGCATCCCCCATTGCAGACGATAAGATTCTTATCGTCTGCATTCAAGAAAAGTTCTCATCCCCCATTCAAGAAGAAATTGCATCCCCCATTGCAGACGATAAGATTCTTATCCTGTGCATTCAAGAAAAGTTCTCATCCCCCATTCATTAAGAAATTGCATCCCCCATTGCAGACGATAAGATTCTTATTGCTGCATTGAAGAAAAGTTCTCATCCCCCATTCAAGAAGACATTGCAGCCCCCACTGCAGATTCAAGAAGAAATTACATCCCCCATTCAAGAAGGTCACATCGCCGCCTTGCAAGGGGAACGAAGACTTTCGCCACTGACCTGGCACAGACTCATGTATCTCTATAAGTATGCGCATGGTTAAATATAATTTGATGCATATGCGTATAGTCTACAATATGTACATGAGGTGATGACTGCATATATATATATATACATACATTATATATACACGTAGAAATGCACATATATAAATCCATCTTATGCATATCTCTGCATGTCAGTGTGTGAATTTTGCAAATATACACTTATATATATGTATGTATGTATGTGTATATATATAGTTATTTATATTTACATATACATATG